CAAAATAATTCAATTTGCGCGAAAATTTGACTCCTCTTTTTACGACTCAGAAATCGTGTTTGAAAGCAAAATAAACATATTTTAATCATGTGAGACATGTGGATGGTTATTATGAACATGGAAATTCGTGAGAACTTGAAGGGGCATTCCTTGAAAGGTTTGTGATTATTACTGAGAATAGCATCCTGTGGTGATCTTGTGATGGCTTTGCATGGTTTTTGAAACTTAGTAATGATGGCTGTTGATGCTGCCACTGGACAACCAGGCCACCTCCATTAGAGCCAACTCTTTATTTGGAAACCATTTACTTCATCTGGTTAACTATTCTTGCAGCAAATCAATCACTGCCAAGAAGATATTAAACACAAAGGTGAGAGAATAAATTAATAAATATGCACATGGTACAGGTGGGGTTTTTAACAAACTTTGAAGCCTACAAGAATTCTTGCTTTTAGGGGAATAAACAAATTTCTTTGGAAGTTACTTTCACTTATTGTGAAGGCACCACTCAATAATGACCTTTGAGATTCGAAAGCATGAGTGGGGCTTGGGTGGGACTGATACCAGGGCTGCCAACACCCAGATATTGATTGTCGGCCTCAAGCATTTTGGGGTACTCTCATGTTCCAATATGGGACTTCTTGAGCTAAAAAAAATTACAAGCTCAAAATGCAGCTTCTGTTTGGTTGCACAGCTCAGAATAATGATCTTTTGCTTAAACAAACTGACAAATGCGGCTAGAAATTGTCTTAGATTGCATCACAGATTTTCTAGAATCCAAAATATTTTCTCAGGGCTCTTGGCCTGCCAAGACCCCCAGGCTATTATGGCTTCACGTTTGTATGCTCTGCTGCCAAATACATGTACATGTACGCACTCAGTCTTTGCTCAAAGTTGCAAGCTCAGCTGATATGTACGTTAGTCTTGGTCCATGGTTCAAGACAATCTGCAGATGAATGTAAGCTCTGCCGACAGGAAAACAAGTATTTAAAAAATATTCATTTTTCATCCTTTCTAAAAAAATTAGACACAAGCTGGTTGAAATGACTATTTCTAAGCCAAAATAGCTGCATGTTTGTTTTCTTGTAATTACATCGTTTAGAACAAAATTGAAAAAACTCGGATTCCAATTAAAAACTTCATTATTGATGACTATTTAACTAATTACAATTGTGACCAGCTCTACAAAAATGGGTAATAAGTCGCCAGATTCAGATAAGATTTTGACATGACTGGATTCTGTACGTCAAAAACTACAATTTGATACATGAATGACTCCTGTACTGCGTTGCATTCTGGATATATAGATATTTGCATATCCACAATTTTAGATTCAATAAAAGCACTTTTTGAGAAAAAGCTCTTGAATTGTAGCGCTTGGAAACTATGCCATGTAGGATTCCCTACTGAAAGATCAATTTTTTATCTTTATTCATCAAGTATCCATGTTTGTAGTCACAAATTCTGGAAATACAAATAGAAAGTAGTAAAACTAAAAGAAAAAACACAAAATCACACTTTTGAGGAAATGTTACCCTCTCCAAATAGAACAAGCCGTAACATACTTTGGCATTGCACGACTTATTACCCTTTTTTGCAGAGTGGGTCACAAGTAATTACATGGCCCATTTGACATGTATCTGGAGTAGCACCTACATGTACCTGAGCATTAGATAGTTGCTTCAGAGAGTCAGGTGCCAAAGGGAAACGTGTCAAGTTTCAAATTAAGGACCAGTGAGTGAAATAAATGAGCCATTGTCAGCGTGTAGAGCATACAGGTACATGTACTTATGTCACATGTTTGTTAGCTAGTATTTTAATAATACAAAAGAAGTGGAGCCCGGTTTGGACACAATCTGTGGAACAGCACTGACTTACAAATCATTTGCATGTAAACGTTTGTGTAAGAATTTAAATGGTTACACATTCCACAGACAGTTATAGAGCCTGAAAGTAAAAGGTCACCCAGGTTGTCCTATCACATTTGATAATTTTTGGGAAAATGATTTGTAACAGGAACTACCCCAAGAAACACCCATGTGGGAATTTTACTTTTGTCTTCTTTAAGTAATATTTTGTATCTTGTTCATAAACGTTATCATTCCCTCTGTTAACATGAAGATGTGATTGTACAACGATGCAAAGATTGATCTACCTGCAGTCCATGGGTTCTAGATTCCATTGAGTTGACCTGACGTCAGTACACCTTAAAGGAACCAGGAAAAAGAAATATTTTTATAAATTTTACTAAAACCCAGTGCAATTGCATCTTTGGGTTTCAATTAACCTTACTTTAAATTTTTGTTTTGCATTTTTTACCCATATTCTGATGCTTTTTGGTTTTTATGCTAATGCACATTTGCACATTCATGTGCAGAACTACATGTATGATGCCATCCAAGGCACTGAATCTCAATGTTGCACCAATCTGTGCAGAGAAAATTTCTAGATTTATTCAACCCCTGCTACGGCAGATTTCATTTTCTTTGGCAAGTTATTGCTGTGTAAGTATATGGCAATAATGCAGCAAAAATCCTTTTCAAAGAAATGTTGCAAGATAGCAAATTTGGGGTTCACAATTTCAACATAAAAACATGCAACGTGAACCATGTCTTCCTGGATTTACATCAAAGCAAAAGCGCCCTCACCTGTCCAGAAATGCTTGGTCAATTGTTAAAGTTTGAAAAAGTGCACTGTTCAATTCATGTAACTCAAAAAAGATATAAAATAGTCTTCATACATGGAAGAAGAGTACAGAAATTCACAAAAAGTGATTCTAAGAAAAATTCATCTCCTGGATCCTTTAAATTAAACATCCAAATTTTTGGTAAATGCAGATTATTATTATTTATATTATCTGGTGAAGACTAACATAAAGTATACTTCAGTGACTTTTTATCTGCATTACAGACCACTAAAGTCAAGTACAGTTTTCAGAAGTGATAGGTCAGTTTTTGGCAGGATATTTCTGTTTAAGGTTGGGTAATTTTCCAGTTTTTTTACAATGGGCTTTTTCCAAGTTGAGTTTTTCAGAAGAACATAATGAGAAATGTTACAAATTATAAAACATTTTATATCCAAGAGTTCCAAAAGTGCACCATCAAGGGTTTTGTTTCAGGCTCTTTTGGATTAGCTGGTTTATACTGGTTCTTGAGCCACCAAATGAGGGCTCACTTCACATAGCACAGCTAATGAGACTGGGTTTAGTGAAACCAGAGTGATTTAACCACTTGCTGCCGGGAGACCTGTTTTTGAGCATATAGGCTTTATACTCGAAGCCGGGAGCCCAAAACTGAGACAAAAGAGCTGGGCCTTGTAACAAAAGACTGTGCTCGGCACAAAAGACTGAGCGGCTGGCCATTACCGACATTTTTTCACTCTCAATAGTGGAGATAATCCAGCCTTGTTTTGAAACAGTACACCACGATTTTGGACATTTAGTGCGAGCGGATTACCACCAGGGACAAAACCGCTCCACAATCTAATCCCGCACCTATTCTGGCCCCTATTGAAAAGAGGTCAGCAGCACACTGTGCCAGGTTCGTGAACAAAAAAACAGTTATATAAACCGCACAATATGGGCTCTTTTTACAAGGCTGCAGTCTTGGCTGAAACACTCGGGCATCAATAGATTTTATCTGTCAGGCTACAGTGGCCACCAGACAGTAATTCATGTGGGTGTAAACGTCCATTAATTGAAATGATGAATTTTTGAAGATTTTTGAAAACTGAAAATCTTGAAATTCCCCTGTACACTGTATGTGTGCACTGCATTTTTCAAACCACCCAATAACATGTGGTTAAGCTATGGAATGTTTTCACACTGCAGTGGTAAACAAAATGTTACAACTACATGACAGCACAGAAATGTGACTTAGAGTTGTTAATCACGAACCTTGATTATCTAGAAATACATTGCATATTAGTGTCACCTAAAGTAAATAATCTTTATTTTGTAGCCTGAGTTGTAAGGTTATTCTTCAATTTGTCCAAGACGGAGGTTGATGGCAAGAAAAAAAGTCAAACTTATTTTAACATCATCATCATAAACTAATTTCATTTTGTCAAAAAATCAGGAATAAAAACACTGGTTAATAAAGGAGCTATAAAAAAGGAAATTTCTTGGCGTTCTAATTTGAGTGGTGCTCAACGCTTCTGCACCACTTGTGTTCAGTTTCACAAACTGCACTGTCAGTCAGTTCAACATAACAAGATGTGTTGTTTATGAAGAAATGAAATTCCTACCTGCAATAACACCACCAGTCAGAGTTGTCACAGCCTATTCAACTGTCAGGTGGCCCATCTCACTGATTGTACTGTAGGTTACCACAAAGATCATGGAAGGAAAAAGCAAATAATTTTGATACATGTATTTTGAAATAGATCAGTTTCAGTGTTCAGGATCGTAAAGAGGATATGGAATACAAGATCAGTTTATTTTAAAGGGGGCATTTAGCACAAATGTACGACACGTATACTATACAGGTTGTCTCAAAAAAGGAAAGCAAGATGAATTTGTTTGATTCCATTATTTTGGTAAAATGGAAACCATAATCAGTTTCATTATGACGTTCTCTTTTGTATGACACCAAGAAATCCAGATTTTCATCACAGATGACTGAGCATGCAGTGGTTTGGTGGATCAAGTCAGAAATGGCGTAGCACCAAATAGCTGTTTTGATGTTGAATTCATAGATGAGGGTGCCATTTAACAGGATCTCAATTATCGCATTTATTTGTAAGCCTTGTTCTTGCTGTTTTTGAAATATTTTGTTTTGATGTTTTGTTAGTTCCTGTGCTAACTTCTCACTGTCCATTTTTTGTTTTAAATTATATATGTGAGTTATATATTTTTGTATTTTATTTTTAGTGCTGTGTACTATCAGACTTTTTAATTATTTGGCGAGTAATTCATAACTAATATTAATGAATATTTAATGATTGTAATTTCTGGGCACGTGTGGAAAACAGTGCTTGGACACTGATAGGTCTCCCCAGGGTAAAGAAAAAATGAACTAAATAAAAAAATAAATTCGTACTGTCCAGAGATGGCTTCTTTGTTTAATATAATTACACAATGTTTGCTAGAATCTCCAAAATGCATGATACCCATTTAAAAGTGCCGAGAACAAGGGCTGAAGTTTGCGATGAAAGAAATGTGGGGCATGTTGAAGGATACTGGGGTTAGGTTGTGGCAAGAATAAAGCCACTTCCTGTGGTTGTCTTGAAATGAATTAATGATATTGGTAGTGTAATTACATGTAATTCTTTACGCTGAACAAACCTACGATGCATCTGGTGCAAAGCACTTTTTGACACGGTCCATTACACCACTTTGTGCTCAGTCAGGTGTAATGGAAAGTTCAATGAATTATGTTTTCCATTTACAAAAATAATTTATCACATTCAAGAAACAGATTAATCTCAGTTTCCTTTTTTTAAGACACCTTGTATAGAATTCATTTGAGGCCTTTTTAAAAAACACTCACTAGTGTTTTGGGCACTAGAATTTTGGCAAAATTTGTTAGACCACTTCTAACAAATTGGTACCCATCGGGGGAACCATGCAACCAGTACAGTGCAATTAAAATGTTACAGCTCCTTATGTGAAAGCTATTTCAATGCATCAAACCACCATCCCATCAACCCCTCCAGGCCAGGAGGCGCCTAGACACGCCGTAAAAATTGAGATCCTCAGCCCCCTTTTCAGCTATTATTCTCGCCGTAATTGGTCTTTGCACGTAGCCCAGAAATGAAAAGACCGAATTTGCATCATAATCACCAACTTCAAAATAGTCCCCACTTTGAAAAGAAGCAACGGGAATGTGGAACGGTGAGTAGAGCCACATGCCACCGAACAATCAGCCTTTTCACCGTGTAATTCCAAGCGTGCAGAGCACACAGGGCCACAAACCGAGAATTTGCAGTTTGGCAGGAGGCCTTCATGGCCAAGCAAGGCTGGAATTCTGGGAGTCGGCTTTTGGCAAGGGGGTAAGGTTTCCTATTACAAACTACAACTATGGCTTCTTGATTCAGCTGTTCTGGCAACATCCATTTCATTTGTCATTTTATAAGTTACAATTCTAGGTTACATGTATTTTAGTGATCCATGTCGGGACTTATTTATTTACCTTGATGGATAGGATGAAGATTGCCTGTTCATAACTTGCCATCCTTGATGACACCAGATGGTAGTGTTGACATCATGCTACCTTGGATAGCGGTCTAATACAGAATGATCCATCTTCTGTTGGCCCTCCTGTTTGACAATAAACAAAATACTATTATTAATCATTTCTTAGATTCCTCAAAAGCACCTTAAGTACTGTAGCTCTCCAGCCTGCGGAAGCCTGTAGAGAGGAGACAATGACAAGCAGTTAGAGGTGGGAGGAAAACCCAGCGGAATATTCTGGGCAAATCATCACGAAATCAGGTAGGGACTGAAAACCTGATTCACATGTGGATCGAGCTGGGATCCGAACTCGGGACCGCAGAGGTGGAAGGCGAGGAAAGAACCACTATGCCACCTTGTCTCCCCAGTTGTCTTATGCAAGGTTGGATTGTAAACTTAGAAACCAACACTTTCTTAGTACACCGAGGACTGGCGAGGAAATATCCCTTTAGGACGAAGGCATTGATTGTGGTTGTAAGAACTTAAGTCTCAACATTTCAGACAGAGAAACCCTTGTAACTTCTCTTCAGTTGCACAAAATACATGTACACTCCTCAACGGTAATGGTCTGGATAGACATGCTAGTCTTCATTATCCAAAAGCAGGGAGATCGTGACCAATTGGAAATAATTATCTGCCACCTTGCCTGTGATTTACAACCACGGACTACATGTATAAAACAAACATTGGTCTTCACCAAAATGCAATTTGGAACGTAGGTATGGATCTGGACGCGGACAGGGGTGGTTTGTTTACAATAGGGGCCTAATACTTCTAAAGCTTGGATGACCCCCTAAAAAGCATAAGCCCTGTAGGGGTCGTATTTTGGTGTAAGGTAGAGATTAAATGGCTTTAACTAATGGTAATAATTCCAATTTCTGGATCTGCCCTTGAAATGTTACCATTCCTAATTTGTCTTTTGTCCCCATTGAACAAATGCCAACTTATGGCCTTTCAATACATAGATCTGCATTATCCTGCAGCTTATCGCAATCTACACGTTGCTTCTGAAAATCAGCCAATTGGGTATTTCAAAAACACATGGTCATTTGCGAACAAAGCACATGCTGCACCAACAGGACAGACATAGCAAGTGCTTCTGAATATCCTCAGACGTATTTCATTTTGGGCATACTCTGTTGGAATACTAGACGGGCTAAACGGAAATTTAAAATGCTTCTGCTACAAAGCAAAACAGGTTTTGTAAAACTTTGAACAGTAGCTTACCAGTGCTGAGAATAAGGGCTAAAGTTTGCAATGAAAGAAATGTGGGGCATGTTGAAGGACACTGGGGTTAGGATGGGGCAAGAATAAAGCCCCTTCCTGTGGTTGTCTTGAAATGAATTAATGATATTGGTAGTGTAATTACATGTAATTCTTTATGCTGAACAAACCTGTGATGCATCTGGTGCAAAGCAATTTTTGACCTGGTCCATTACACCTTTAAACACATAGATCTGCATTATCCTATTAATGGCCTAAACGGAAATTTAAAACGTTTCTGCTACAAAGCAAAACAGGTTTTGTAAAAATTTGAACAGTGGCTTACCATCAAGAAATCTCTGAAGAATTCATCCTGACATTTGACCTTCCCCTCCGGATCAAGACGAGATTGCAGTAGACTTTTTGCATGTCAGCAACTCCACAACTCCCTTAACAACCTCCTTGATGTGACCAAACATAAATACCATCTACATGTACTTCATCTTGATGGTTGCTCTTATGCCTGTGATAAAAGAGGGAAGCAAACATATCATGACCAAAAATATGAAATGACAGCTTGAGTTCCTCGTCTGGATACCACGCAATTTATAACAACTTTCACTCCAAGGCTTGTTTTTTTCATTGATGACAATTTATGTAAGCTAGAGAAAAACCTAAGAATAAGTACTATCTGTGGAAGAAGCGTAAGGCCATGTCTGTAACTTCTGTAGATCACGGTGGGTAAATACAGGACTGTACTAATTCTACAAACATCCCAAGTATCAGGTCTTGAATGGCTAGTTTTTTTAAAATATTTTATCCATTCATACATGTGTCAAAAATTTTTATGGTGTGCTTTCTACAATTTGCACTAACTACCACATAAAATGAATCCACCAGTCTACAACTCAATGTAGTCACAGCTAGTGAAAATTGCTCTGCACGGGAAAACAGTTGTGGATATGTGCGTGTGCACACAGACACCACATGCTCATTGTGAATGGTCCATTAGCTCAGCTAGCGCATTGTGATGTCATCTCCAGGTACATTAGCATCCAGTTTGAATCACAACATGAAAGAGATGGTAACTTCCAGCTCTGCCAACAAGAGCATTTTCGATTTCAATGGGAAATTTATCTTTTCTTCCACTAATTATGTGAGTAAATCTTACCACCATCATTGGAATATCCGATTTCCACTGAATCCCGAGGTGAGTGCATAAGCTGCAGAACTCCAAGTCACTTCTCCATGTGATTTGGAGCCCAATGGCTTCTTATGGATTCATAATGTAGTGGGTTTTGAATGCAGAGGAGTTATGTCAGATCGGGGCACATTTACATGTAAAAATTCCACTTTCTCAATCAAGTCTTCCCCTAACAAACCATCAAAACTGGTGCATATCTTTTTAAAATCCTCTGACCTATGTGACTGTCTATTTCGTGAAAAAAATTTGAGCTTTAACTCAACACCTTCTCATTTTCCTAACGGAAAAAAAAAAATGACCCAAACAGATCGCACACGCAGCGTGCATCACGCAGTGCACATTTGTCGGGTCAATGGCCGACCTCTATTGGCTCTACCATTTTGGGAAGCAGGGGGAATGGAATCTTGTTCTCCCTGTGTGTGTCTTGGCAGGTGTGCTGCATGCTGCACTGTAAAGCTGTGAAAGGAAGGGATCCACACTTTGATACAGGTATGTGGTTTCATACATGAAATCAGACTTAAAACCTGTTTGTTTACAGTAGTACAGGATGATTGCACAATGAAAACAAGATTTTATCCCTGCTTCCAAAAAACGGTTAAACTGATGTTCAATGGTTGGCCGAAACCTCATGCCCATAGGTATGATTTTACCACACCATATTGGTTCATGGAGATCAATGGTTGGTTCCCACTATGCCTTGTGTAATCTTCGCAAATGTGCATGCAGCCCATGGAGTCAAGGTTGTGATCTCCCATCAACCCAACACACACGCACTGTGTGATGCAAGCGGAATGGGCGATGTGCTTGGGTCATTTGTGTCTAGAAAATGAGTGTTGAGTAAAAGCTCTGATTTTTTTCAAAGAAACAGTCAGTCGCATGGTCTTTCGACCATAGGTCTGAATGATTTACGGGAAATGCATAAATTCAGTTGGCTCTTTGGGGAAGATTCCATTAAGAAAGCGGAATTTTTTAAATGTAATAATACCCCAATTTGATGTAACTTTCAAAACCCACAGTATTACCAAACTATAAAAAGCCCTTGGGCTCACATAATTATGGGAAGAAAAGAGAACTTTCCTGTTTAAATTGGAAATGCTCTTGTTGGTCCCGATCTGTGTCCTCTCTCTTTGATTTGATAACTGGGCTGCATTCAAAAACCTGTCATTACCATAGCGTTACTAACCCATAAAAAGTTGTTGAACTCCAACATGTCCACGTCACATGGAAAGATGACTTAGAGTTCTGCAAGCTGAAGTAGGTACATATATTAGACAGTTTCAGGACCATTTTGGAGGTGAATTCTGAGGATTTTGATTTGGGTATAGACAACGCAGGGGCCATTTTGAGTGAAATTATTGAATAGAAGCAAAAGCCTATGAATGGTACATGGACTCTCTAGTCCTAGGCCTAGGCTATCGCCCGACCATTTCCAAATGTGCAAGAAGGCTTTTTGTAAAAATTGTACTAATGGTAGTGTTCAAATTACTCAGACCACGAGGGTCCCGAGTTAAGCAGAGGCAGTTGGGACCAGCCTACTTGCACAACTCAAGGTGTTTACGTCTATTTCTTCAGGAGAATGAGGTCATGGGGTGGTGAGTAAAACTTCACTAAAAGAAGTCACATGGTCTTAAAACCACAGGTCAGAAAATGTAACAAAATATGATGTTAATTGTTATGCATTAGTTTTGACGGCCCTTGTGGAAAAGACTGAGAAAGAGGGGTTTTTAATGTTAATGTAGGTCTACCCCGATTTGACATAACTGACCTGGGCTGCATTCGAAAAAGTACAGCGCCGATACGAGAACATAAAGGAAAAGAAGTCGCATGCAAGTCACTTGGAGTTCTTGTGCAAGTAAGTTGGGACGTAACAACATAAATTCAACTTGACACTGCATGTACATGCGTACAATACTCACTTCGACGAAATTCACTTCGAAAACCCACCCACAGCATGATTTGGGTCCAAATACAACTTCAGCAACCAAACCAACGACTGAGGAACTTTGTTCGTAGGTACAAAGGCCTACGTGTTCGCACGTTAGTGCTTATCATGCATGTCGTCGATATGTCAAGCGTGCGTTCGCGTTATGCGCCCTCTAGTGATCTCACTGTGCAATGAATGCCTCGTAACTTCGTGCGTACAACCAAACCACATAGGCCTAATTATTTTCAGACAGACCTGCTTCAATCACTTACTGTCAAAAATTCAGTTTCATGCAAACCCGTACATAACTATAAATTGAGATCTGAGTTGTAATGCTCTGCTCTTTGTTGTATATCAAGCACCGGAATGCTTCCTTGGTCTCCGTTGTTTTCTTAAATTATTTCTGGTCATGTACATTTGCCTTTCATCTTCTGTTCGGTATTTTGCGAGATTTACTTGTGGTTATACACGTGTACAGAGTACCATGTATTTCAGTGCTACAGGCAGAACTTATCCAATTAGACGCCACAGCTGCGGTTGCATTGCACTTACATGCGCATTCTTAACGTGCGCGTACCACCTGTCGACAAGCGTTGTGCCACTGCAGTAAATGGTCAAATGACCATGCTACCTCCCATGCTGCCGCCACTTTGTTTGGCGCCCTCTAGCAAGCCACCATGGGGTTTGTGCGTAGCCAGTGGGGTCCTCAGAGGAACGGAACACTCTTCTCGTTTAAGTGACATAAAATTAAAATTGCATTATAAAATTAGGCCATGAAGAAACCAGCTCATACATGTACTATTCTATTTAGGAATATTTTGTAACACCTCGGAATTTTTTTTTATCTATTGTCATCATCCTGGCTCTGCATCAATGACCTGGTTTCACGTCAAGAGTTTAATTCAGCTTAAATTCTTATCTTACCGAAAAGACCAATCGGCCCAAGTTACTTCGGATTTTTTACCTTGCCAAGAGCAAGACTAAAAAACATTTCTGATGGAGCATAGGACTCGGGCACCTTAGACCTCACAAACCTCTATAACTGATTTAAACTAATCTGCTTCAAATCGTTGTACTCATATTTTGGATCTGTATTAATAACAGCGAAGGTGAATACATGTAAAACGATACACATAAATGAGAACTTCCAAGGCGTGACAAGACAAGCGCTTGTACGAAGCGAAGGAACAAGATACTTGTGTTTATTTGCCTAGCGTGACGAAGCTTAATTTGTCAAGTGGAATCTGCCAGAGTTCCCAACACTGATCGAAATTAAAATCCCCAGATTCTCTCGTGAACAGTTTACTCGCTGCAAACAGCCTCCGTGACTTCCCTGAACTAACATTTCGCCTCGCAATTTTCGGATCCATCCCTTTCCTCTATTTTGTACAGGGTGACGTGGTAGGTCTTCAAAAACAGCTTCAAAAACTTCTTTTTGTAAGAAAAAGGAGTTTAATATCGCTGCCCGGTGCATCAGGTGTGATGTTAAAAGCTGTGTTTTTTTCTAATACACGTTTAGTTATCTACGGCAGGTTAATGTCGCTGACAAATGGTGGTGTTTAAAAAATGTCTTAATGTGGTGTTGTAACTGATGTTCAACTTCTTGCCCTTGTGGCTAACATGAAAATATCAATTGCCAACAACAATTCCTCCGGAATGTGCAAATTTCGCTCAAACTGACTGTCAGTTGTAGCTTCATTAATTTCAAAATGCCGACCATTATTACTTCATGTTTTTGCCTACAGTGCAAAACCATAAGCGCATTTAACCTTTTGAGGAAGTCTGACTGCCTTCTGTTTTGGTAACACACCATCCAAGTAGATCGCTCATTACCATTCATCGGAAAGCTTGAGCTTGCACTTTCCAGTAATAAAAGTCATTATCTATACCTCAGGGACATCAAAAATATAATTATCGCCAAACTGTCAGATTGAATGCTTCTTTCTACAGAACATATATCTGTGTTTCCATGGAAACGTTCATTCATGACCAAATCCTCCTGTAGTTACTACCGTAATGTTGATCCCTTTTTTATGAATCATTAATTATCTTCTCATAATTCTTCTCAAAATAACCAAATAGCTTTGCGGTTGTGGACAAGCGCGAGATGTGCTCTTTTGCTACAGGTCTTATTTTTAGACAAGGAAAGATTGGGGTTAATTTTTTTCATTGTATTTTAAATCCAATACAGATCAAAAAGGAATACAATAGAAATATAACTTTCTTGCCTTTCTCTCATTAATACATGACAACACTTTTGCTCAGTTGTAACATTTGAAAGATCCAATTATTTCATCAGTGTGACCTATTTCATTGTTGAATTTCATAAGGCTAAGGCCAGAGTGGAACATTAAAACGCCCCATTGAACTGTTTTGGTGTGTTATAGTTTTCTCAAATCGTCTTAGAGTACAACTGCAAATTAGAGGATAATTTTTGCAACGGTTGGTTACAAAATGCAAAAGTCGAAATATCATGGCCAGGGCTATTTAGATGGTCCCTTAAACCTCCTAGGGATAATGTTGGAATACGAGGTTAGTATACCCAAATGGCAATGTATTGGCATGACCTCTGCATGTGTCAATTTGGAAACCTATGTAGTAATAGTAAGAAAGGCTTTAGCGTAGGGCACGCGACCCCGGCAGAATGCGGTACACGCACGTGTTACACCTCGTTACGGTGAGATCCCGCCACGCGCTACTGACAAACGTGACGTCACCAGCGCATTCCAAGGCACGCTTGTATGAAACTTGAAAGCACAGGGTCGAGAGGCAAATAACCCCTTCCAGAAAAGAATATTTTGTTGATCCATGATGCACCTAATGGATTTAATTATAATGAAATTTTTGTCTTGGGACTTGAAAACGTTATTAAAATTGAATTTTGCATTTCCAAGAGAACATTTGTTCTCGGTATAAAGAGCACTGCTACAATAAAATGCTGTTGCGAGGAGTACATTCTGAGAATCTCAAATTCTTGACTTAATGTGTTTTCTTAGTTTTCCCACTCTTTTATACAGGGTCCTGGTATTACCAAGTAATTTGTCTGGTCCCTGCAAACCTTTTATAATGAGAGTTGATTGTATTTCAAAATCCTGCATTCATTTGGCTTAAACTGTTTTTATTCTCCTCTGTCGTTGCTTTTATTTAGATCGCCATTCGTGTCGAAATTTAATATCTCAAAATCAATGCAGAATCGTTCTATCAGCGAACAAATGTTGTCTCTCTTCTCGCCTGACCTCACTTTCCTCAACAACATTTGCCGACTTGGGTACATTCTAAAGCCAATTTCAATACAACGAGTTCAGTAAAAGAGCATCAACGAGCATCATATGAGGTGAAGATTTGTTTTTCCATGCCTCTTATAACGGTGATTGTGCTTATAATCGCAAGGACGAAAGAAACACATTTTCGATTTAGCCCAATGTTGTTCGAGAAACAAGACCTTTATAAGAGAAGGCGTGGAAGGAGGATGTTCCTGCATGCTGTAAGCACGGCTGGTGATTCCTGCGTGCTTTCAACGAGATCTCGCTAGCAAGCCGTCGTTAACGCGTCGCTGTCACCGCGTGGCTTTCTCACCACCAACAACGTACATGTACATGCGCACCACTGTAAGACACATCTGCTCATCACTGCGCTGGGAGTTCGTCAAGCTTGCAGTATGAGATTTGGCAAGCTATCGCAAAGATCTGCCCAACGCATTCAATTACAAGTCGGGGTCCTCGGCACACTTCGATGTGCGTACGTGTCGCTGTGCCACTCTCTTTGTGTCTTTACCTGTCACTATCTGGAATATAATAACTTCGCTGTCATCTCTTTCGATGTGCCTGTCACCAGGTCTGCAGTGTGTCAGTGACTGATAAGGTTATATGGTCAACCCCTCTATACCCTGCGAAATGATTAACTTGGATATTTATTACACACAGGCAGAGATGTTGGTCAGGCTGTGGTTTTCCACCACATAAATCCGAGCGTTTTATAGGTAAGTGGTGCCTCTTTTCGTACCTGCTTTCGTATTACAGTCAACAACTTTTCCTTGTTTTGACTTTTACACACGTGTCAATCCCAATTACTTGTTTCACTGCTGAGGTTAGGCAGCTCCGCAGCAGTAATGTGCCGCCTGTTTCAATAATTCACACTCTGTGGGAATGTGCGAATTGTCAAGCACGCAGGCCGTGCCGGCAGAGCATTCGCCTCACGCGTTTGGATATCCAATGCCATTTTGTTATTTGATTTGCTTCCTCTAATTTGAACAAAACGATGCCCCCGAATGTGTTTGCATACAGTTCTATTCGGCCTTCGTACTTCTCATCATGTACATTTTTATTCCTGTGTTGATATAACGGAAGTAACCGCATATCCAAACATGACCACGCTAAGTAAATAACAAACAAAATTAACAAAAACGAGTATGGAAAAGAATGTTAGAATCGAAAGTTCGAATTCTCCGTCGTTTTGCGAAATATTTTGTAAGCTTCCAAAAGTTGGATGAATTTATTACATGAAAAGCCCACTACCTTTGCGCTGTCGAACATCACGTGGTGTTAATGTAAATAATATCATAAAAAACAAATGGAAAATGTCAACTATACGCCAAGTGTAAGTGTGGTCATTTCGGTGATCTCGTTTAAAATAAATTACTTTTAGCTATTCACACACATTCTGGTGGCTTATTTTTAATTAAAATGCATGCTCAAATTATTTTACAGTCTGACAACAGGATTGGAAGATTTTGAAACAATGTTACACTTGTCTTGTCGTAGTTCATATACGGGGTCTACAAAAATACCGGGGATGTAGCCTAGTTTGCCCTTGGTAAACTTCAGGAAAAATTGGTTTCTTATTTCATTATCCAGGAATGCATTCCAATGTTCCCTCCATTCAACTTGAAATAGTTAAACGTGTCAAGTTCAACTTGAAAGAGTTTGACCTGAAAAAGGAGGTAATGCTTAAGAAGTGCCCTTTGCGTGTGTGAATGTGAACTTCTGATCAAATCTTTCAAAAAAACAGTCAACAAATGTATTTTGAACTTGGTCAAAGAATGACCTCCCCATTTTTTATGTTAGAAACTGGAGTGAAAATGCGGAAAATAGAGATGCTTTAAATTAAACGATGCTTTTTACTCTGTGAATTTTTCGCACAAAAATGATTCCATCCTTAACTAACACATCCAGCACTAATGTCATCACATTGACCCATCTGTCAAAACCTTAAAACCAACACCATAAAGAAAAGATTGACTTCTATTCGACTTTCAAATCCTAATGGCTTTTCCTAAAAACCATATAATGACAAAGAAATAAAATTAAGAAGTAAAAAGTAAGCTTCCTGCATTGCCAATCCTGATCTTTTCAAAGACTGGTGCGATCGTGCACCTTCCGCGAGAGATTTTAAAAGCTTCTACCGTTAAGAGATGATAATGGGTGATTTCCATCAGTTGGACATGTCTGAGTTAGAACTGAATACTAAATATCTTAACCTTTACGAAACCCCTCGTTTGTACTCTGCTGATTGTTGTTCGGTTGTTGTAAATTATCCCCCATTAGTGACAGATCACGCATGATCAGTTGCTGTCCGTGACAAATCTGTTCCTTTCTGAATTCAAACAAGAGAATTTTTCCGGTCAGAGTTTTCAATGTCAAAGGAACAGGGAAAAGAACTACACGCATTCCAAGTCCCGTAGGAATATATTAACAATTCTGCAAAATAATGGTATAAATGCAGAGAAAAGAAAACGTTTGGAATACGCTAAAAGTCAAGTACGAATCATTTGTGAGAAAACGGTTTGTGACAAATCTCTAAGACACAATACGAGTTATCAACTTGGATGAGTTCGTATAAGAAACAACAGCCTGACGGTTACTGTAACTGAGAGTGTAATCATTGGATGTGATAATCTACTTTGTTGGTATTTCAAATTAATATTGAAACAAAATGTACCTTTAAAGTTTGGCAGTAAAGACTACCAAAATGTTGATATTTTATTGTGAGTATCTCTTGTAATGTTGCTTTTGATGTTCAGGTGCACGTGTTGTTGTTGACGTAAATGTCGTTAGAGTGGATATTGCACCTGCTGTGATTTTTCATGATATTACTGCTTGTCGAGGATCAACTGCTAATTCTTATTACAAAATGGTGTTGACTTATCTGATATCTGAGTGGATTTCCCACCTCTTAACAAGATTTGATTGCTCTTCTAACACTTCACTTTCAGATTTTTTTTTAAAATTTCATGATGGATACTTAGCGAGCATATGGGTGATTTGAAATGTGTCTTAGTGTTCGTTAAAGAATCTAATGTGTAATGAACAAAGTTGAGCTGAAATGGGTATTTTTTAATAAGTGGTGCTTTAAAGGAACCCTCAACTTGAAACGGTGATATTTGAGTGTTGTCACAAAAATTGGAAAGCACTGCCCAATATCCTTTGCCTCTCTTTAATATAATATCGCAGAGCTGTGAAAATTGACATCATCAGATAGCTGTTCGCTTGACCTTTCTATGATATTACCTTGACCTTGAATACAGTAATGGAATTAGGCCACAGAGATTGAGGATAATGACTTCATTAACTGATGGGTATGGAGCATCCTTTCCTGTCACTTGTAATTAGAACACGATGAACTTCACACTTCTTCCAGACAGGGCTGTAATTAACGGAATGGTCTTGTTGTGACGATGTTACCGGTATGTCCTCCAGCAATTTTGTTTGAGACTAAGAAATGTCGGTTCAAACGTCTTGGTAATACGTATACTGCTGTCGTATTTCTGTTAGCGCTGCTGTTGATATAGTTTGTTTGTTGATGTTGAATGTTGTTGAATGGTGTTGACACCATACATCGATGAAATTATTTAAAATGTAAACTGTTCTTGCGGTGCTTTGTCTTTGATACTTATACGAATATCATGATTAGCATTAAGTTATTTTAACAAAAACACACTTTTTTTCGCAATTACAGGTGGGTATTAAAGTTTCCTATTTTGCTATAAATAGAAATAGGGAAGTAAACTATAAGCACTTATTGACAAGGTTATATCCTCAATTTAAAACTGTCTAACACGTCTTTTCTTTTCCGTATTTGATAACTACTGTTGATATGTTTACCATAAGGATCATGGAGTCACCAATGGACATTAGCCAGCGCTTTGAGCATAAAACGTTAGTTCCTGGGGTTGTATATATGACACAGCCTGTAAATAGCTGCCAATGTTGTAGTGTTATGAAGTGCGCTCACGCTGAAACGGCATAGTAATATGCAGGTCCCCGTGGCTTGTTTTCATACTTCCAATAAAAATATATAACTCCGCTTGGGTGTGTAACTTAAAGTGGATCACGTTAATATTTAGGTTCACTGACTATACCAGGGTTGCCAAGTCGTAATTGGGATTGATTTACGCATGTGACGGAAGGGTGCAAAATATCAGGATTTGATGTACATGTTTGAATATTTTGCCGCGTACAACTGCACTCTCGTGTGTGCGTCTTACACTAAAAGCTCGTATAAATGACGGTGCGGTTCAAGTTGACAACATGCCCTTTCAAAAATAGCTAAGTCTTATGATCTTGTGCACGTCGTGCGTGTGTGTACACATCGGCAATGCCGTGAGTGCAGTTCATCAGTTAGTGTCGTCTATTTGTATTCTGATGGTAGAGACTGTCTGCGTGAGCAGGTAAACACATGAGCCAAGGGGCGATGGTGTAAAGTCTTGGGATATTTCTCTAAAAACATGATGGGAGAGAGGAGTAAAGTGCTATCGCTTTTGATTAAAGTGCGACACACAGCAGATTAGCGTAAGGTTCTCTATGCTGACGTAAACTTTGGATAGATTGATACAACACCAGCCAGTATTTCCTCTCTGACACCGGACGCGGTATGTACGCCATATGCCAGCATCATTGTACAGTTCACTTGTCTGGTCAATAGTTTATTTTAATCAATTATCTGGTTTGCATTATGCATGCAAGCTGGGGTTTTGTGTCAACGGGCAAGGCTGTGTACTGTACGCGTGCATCATAAACTGTGTATTATACATGATACATCTAGTGGTACCCTGTAATCCTTGTCCTCACGTCACCTGCAACCATTATGCATGTATAATATTCAGACATTCACTTCGCACGTGCATGTGCGGGTAATTGACCCACAACTTTCGCTCGCTGCTTAAATCATGTGGGATATCTTTTTTTGCTACGTGAGATTAGCTGTATTAATATCAGGGGTTCCGTCATCTGCAGGCCAACCCATTCAATATAAATGCATTAAAACTGCACTCTGGAAAGTTTCAGAGATCACAGGTACAATTATTCTTTACCTCTTATAATAAGATAACAGCTATCTGATGTACACGTACGACGGTATGATTTTTACGCTTCGTTACAACAGAGGATGACCGTAAATAAGAGGCATTCAAATATTCCCAATTAGGTGAAAGGACTAGTAAATAATAATAAACTACTTAAGAGCTTCCAAGTGGATTGCAGCCCAAAATATCTGCGTATCAAAATACAAATAACGGGCTGCAACGTTCCAATTATAAAACTAACTGTATATATAATATTCCTAAATGCTCAACGATCAGGGCTTGACATTTTCCACGCACCCAGTTAAACAAACCACATTATAGTAGATCTTACACACCGGATTTATTTAAAAGAAATAATTCTGTTCTTTTCAACAGTGATTCATCGTCATTGTTTATATAACGTGGCTAGCTTCAGTGCCGTAAACATTTCAGTTATCTCCCTCATTCATTCTAATCAACCAGACAAAACGTGAGATACCGGTACATGATGTGCGGACTGTAAACCATCTCAACCAACACTGATCGTGTTGTGTTTGTCATATGCAAATTACACATGATCACTTGACGACTTCCACATAAAACCAGACTGATGAGTAATTGTTTCTTAGAAACTATTTTCCCTGTAAAACTTGGTCAATATTTAAGGAGAGAATTGTGGTTACCCGTGTGCTGTTTCACTC